ACAACCTATCTTGGTATAATGATCACAGAGTATTTAAGTTTTGTCCACGCGAACCGGCTTAAACGGTTTGTCAACCCGAAAGATAGACCAACTAACCCAATCCCAGTTGTTGCTACGGACAACCAAACGATTCCGTCTCAATCTGACAACAATCATACCACCCCGACGCCTCAGACATTAACCCCCAAGCAGGCACAGAATCCCGATTTTGATTTACAGGAGGATGACGTTTTCATAGTAAAACGAATCTTAGCGCATAAAATAGTGAATGGGGAAAAGTACTACAAGATTCACTGGGATAATTTCACGTTACAGGAGGTTACATGGGAACCCGAATCTACTATCCCTCAAGGATTGATTCGTGATTACATGATCCAGAAGTCATTAAAAAAGAAGCGAAAACGTTAGAATATATCTGAATTAATTTTCGAATAGTGTTTCAGATTAATTGTTATATTTCGTTTCCTTTTCAGTTATAACACTGCAGATTTCGTGTTGGAGACGGGCCCCTCTAATATTGATTTTAGCATGTGTTTTATTTACAGGTTTAGAATTACATGATGCTATATGCATGGAGCACGGCTCATATCGATACATGCTATAGATCATTTACTACGGTGTTAAGATGATTCATTTGTCACAAGGTTATAGGAAAATACAAACGTGCATATATGTTGAAAATGTGTATTGTAATTGTCAAATATTGTGTTTTGAATACTCCGAATACTCGGATTATTTACAGTTATGTGTTGGTTGACATTGAAAAAAAAACCATCATGTTCATGGGTTATGGCCGCACATGTATTTCGCAGGCCACGAGAATACAAATGAGTTACAATATATGAGAAATGACGACTACAGGTCGCATGGTTATATACTCCTTCTACGAGATGATTCTGGCTGCACATGTATTTCGCAGGCCACTATAAAGCAAGTTCGCTTTGTGTGTATATACGAGAATACAAATGAGTTACAATATACGTGAAATGACGACTACGGGTCGCATGGTTATACAATACGGTTACAAATACAGTGAAGTGATATACGATGATGAGAATTGAGATACAGTCATGTGAACTGAATACAGTCATGTGACGTGGAATACAAAAACGAGACAATAAATAATGTTGTGATGATATATGTTGATACTGTAAACGAAGTTCACTATTGTTGGATGTTGCTTACTCGCACGGTTCCCAGTGTGAGATTATATATTACCTACTTGTGACAATTGTTATCATACTTCTAAGATACAGTCAGCGAGGTGAAGATTCGAGATGAATACAGTCAGACAGTTACTAGGTTTCACAAGACATGGAAACCTTTTTTTACGAAACATGAGTGATATATGATATTTAGTTTGAAGTTAATAATTATGTTGATGCACTTATTTCTTTGAATTTTAGAATCCAGAGGCCTCCTCCGACCAGTATGGGTCTTATTCATTGTCATCGCGTTGGTTAGCATCCAGAATCGGGTTAATTCCGTGCATACGGAACTATGACTTCCATGGGGAGTTGTCTTCGTACATATGTCACGAATCGACATTTCCCAGAATAAATGGATTCATATCTTTCAATATACATTGCCTGATTTAGATGGAATGGGCAATAGATCAAGATATCGAGACTTTTGTGCCACATATACTTTGACTTGTTATACCGTTTCGGCGGTGGATGGATATATAGGACAGGCCGAACGAGAGTTGTTCGCGTATTGGACAAATGTCCATAAAGACATTAACCTGTTAATTCCCCATATTAACATTTTCACAAGGATTCCCGCACTAAACGAGCGATACTTCCTTTTATTGTATCAATAAGTCGTTCGCTGTTTGGTACTGCTACAGTCGAGGATGTTGAACGACTGGCGCAGTATGTTAAACAATTGTCGTTGCATGCTGCTAATACTTCTCGTGCGTTTCAAGTCCAAGTTCGTCAGATGTCGTCATTTATGACTAAAACAAATGAACGCATTTCATCCGCTCTCGCGGGTATTGAAACAAACCATAAAGATATTATACCAGTCACTAAACAAATACAAGATGTGGAGAAATTTATTTTTATTACGATGAAAATCTTGTTAGATCGCCTCACGTTCCTAACTACAATTAGACAAGAAATTGATGAAATGTATTTAGGCATCCAACAGTTAGTTAATCAACGATTGAGTCCATCTTTACTCCCAGTTTCGGAAGTAAAGAAAGCGTTAAAAATGATTCAAAAACGTCTCAATGCAGAATACCCGTTGTTTCACGTCGCACATAAGGATCCAGGTTATTATTATCGGGAACGCACTGTTCACGGTTCTTGGAATTCAATTGAATTTTCGGCTAGGGATTTTCAAACATGTTATGGTGAACACGAAAAACACTGTCCAATTTTTCAAAGTCCGAAACCAAAAACATCTCTCACATGCGCACTTGCTTTGTTTACTAAAGACACACAAGAAATTAAATCCTTGTGTGATACAAAATTCCGATTAAATGGGCTACGTTCAATGGCTCTCGAAATTGAACCAGGCACAATTCTTTTAACTGGCATAAAGACCATAATACTAACGTGCAAGGGTCGCATTGAGAAGCGTCCAGCTTGTCAGATTTGTATATTTAAAATTCCTTGTTACTGTGCATTGAAACTGGATGAATTCGACATAGACATGAGAATTCATAAATGTGAGAAAAAGTCAACTGCTTCAAAATTATACCCACCTAATCTTTTACTTTTATCGGAATTTTTTAATGCATCCATCTTAAAAAACATTGATAGTTTACAGCCGAATCTGAAAGATTCCGCTTTTAAGATCCCACATTTATTAATTGATGATAAAGTTTTCGATGAAATTCGTAGAAAGGACACAGAATTTCAAGTTGATTTACGCCTTATTTCTCAACGTATGAAAAAGGCACAGGTCATTTCGGATAATTTAATTGATGGTAATTAGATGGATTCCCTTCCACCTTACGCTTTAGATGGGGATTTAACCAACCCATATCACTTAACGGCAAGCATAGCCGCGGGTTTATCCCTATTTCTCTTAATAATCGTTCTTTTCTTATGGCTTAAAGTTCGACGCTTATTTTTTGCAGTGACCTTACTTACAGCAGGCTCCCCAACTGACGGTTTGACAATTTGGAAAACACATCAAACCACACCCTATCCAAATTATCCCCCTCCTTCATTTATGTCGTTGATTCTTTTCTGATCATATCGACAGTATTTTTGGAATTCATTTTGCTTTTTCGAAGAATAAAAAAAGTCAATCGATCGGTTTCGTCACTGGTTTTACATTTGACAAATTCCTTTGCTTGTCATGAAATTATGGTCTCACAGTTCCATCTTTGTCCCCGAGACCTCACGTTAACGGCTGGAAATCCCCTAACTAATTTTCGTATTCAGCAGGTATTTCTTACTTATTATTCACTGTTTGATTGTCACAATTTGCAAATTCAAACCCCGACACAATCTATATATATTTCGGGAAACATTTATGTAAGTTGGCTAATGGCGTTTCGTCTAAAACGATTCCTTCCTTCCACGACAGGTATTTTTATGGTACTTCAACATTGTGGAGTCGCCTTTCCGTTACCTCAGACATGATGCATATAATAATTGCCATCTGCCATGAGAAGATAAAAATTGAATTTCCTTTATCTAGACACGTTATTCTTGCCCATCATATTTCATATTGTAATGGCTTTGTTTTAACCATTTTACGGACCAGTTATTTGTGAGTATAATACACGCTTGTCAGGGTACAGCGAGAATGTCAGAATATAAAATGGTTACGAATTTGAAATATTTGATCATATTAGTTATCCCCCTTTACAGATACTGATTTACAAGGAGAAAAGTTTATTTCTACTTATTGCATCTCTTTATTGTGACAATATTGAATGAATTATTTTTCTGTAGAGACAAGACCTGTATTGTGTATCTTCTATATTACTTTCTAGGTACAATTACTATCGGTGTTTCAATGTGTGCTCTCAGCTCATCCCATAATAATTATATATGTTGTTCGTTTTGGTGTTGATAACTACAAAGCATTTGCTGAATGCTGTTGATTAGAATTTTATGATAGTTAGTCCGACTGTACTGTTCAAGCAGTCCATAAGTTTTGCGATTTGTTCGTGCTTATTAATGTCTTTTTATGATTATATTTGGCTACGCAATTGGACCTGTAACAATTAATCCAAAAAAAAATAAAAGTCGATTCCTGCCGTTATCATCCTTATATGCAGATATGCATATGCCAGAAGACTATTATTGTGTATATAGTCTCATTTTTACTGGCAGCAGTCTGAGCTGCAGGTGTCGCATCTTTATATGTATTCATATTTCTATAGTTTATATGGTATTATTCACTTGTTGTTCGGGAATTACCAGTATTTTTAAGTGTTGTAGATGATGGCCGTACCCAATTCTATAGGGCGGAGAGTCAAGCACTTCCCCCGCTGTCGTCTGGTCCAAGCCAAATAATTATTCTGGCTCCTGGCTACACGCTTGCTGTCGAGGATGCACGCTGTCCTATCACCTCTGCCGCTAAACACAGAACGCAAGCAACAGAGGGTTATCCATATCTGTCAGCACCCCCGACGTCTACATCTACAGGTGCTCACGACGACCGCATACACATTGTAACTCTATCGGCATACAACATCTTTAGAGAGCGACCAGTCAACACTCAAGCAGTGTCAAGAAAAGTCGACCTCTCGCTTTGCCACTCCAGCCGAGGACCTGACTGTGTGGGTGTCTAGCCGGGAGAGCCACATTTCAGAAATGGCTATTGCCGGTAGAGCCACATTTTCAGCTGAGTGCATTTCACCTATTCTAGCGGGTAATTACTTAATCCGATTACCGATACCTTTATATGAGTGTCCCACATTTAAGTTACTAAGCGTGGTGTTCTTTAGAGATACCTTTAAATGAGTGTCCCACATTTAAATTACTAAGCGTGGTGTTCTTTAGAGATACTTTTAAATGAGTGTCCCACATTAGTTGGACTTTGAACGTGCAGCTCACAATGCCGTGACTGATGTATTTCCTGGGACATTAGTTAGAGGGTGTTTCTTTCACTTCACCCAATGTATCTGGAGGAGCGTGCAGAAAGAAGGTCTGGTGATGGCATATAAGGAAGATGAGGAGGTGAAGAAGCTGGTGAGAAGAGCTGCTGCCCTCCCTCTACTACCTCGTGACAAAGTGGATGATGTGTGGCTTCATGCCATTGCTGACTCTCCTGCTGGCCCTAAAGTGACTGCCTTCATGGACTACGTGACAACCAGTTGGGTTCAAGGAGGGGCCTTCATGCCAGAGATTTGGAACCATTTCGAAAACCAAGGCCACCGTACCAACAATCACCTGGAAGGGTGGCACAACAAGATAAAGAAACTTGCCAAGAAGTGCCACCCGAACATCTAGGAGGTAGTGAAGCTATTTCAGCGAGAGCAGTCACTCAAAGAGGTTGCAGTCCTGAGACTCTCTCACAGGTGGTCAGAACCTTCACGAAGAAAGAAGTACAAGGCAATCGATGCACGTATTGCGTCCCTCAAGATCCAGCTCCTGAACCAACACCTGAGTGAGTTGGAATATGCTGACCACGTGGGCGACCTCCTTCATCTGCAGTAATGACATTAAATCCATTATGATATTCATATGCTATTCATATTCATCAATGTAAAGTTTTGATGAATATGTTATCCTTGTTGAATAAAAAATGAGAAAACAAGACTTGTTTTATTATATACGGTAACCTGTTAGAATCACAAAGCATCTTTTGACAGCATAGCCGCGAGAGCCACATTATACAATCACGCAACCATAACCATTGCCGCGAGTAGTATAGGTAATGGGGGTTCTGGACCACTTCCACTGGAGCCAGATTTATATACCTATACTGCTATTTTTTATGCCAAAATGATTATGCGATTTAATGATAGTCATGAGATTGGCTCTAGCTCACCAATACCTGGGGCCAATCATTGCTTCTATTAGTATAAAAATGATGATGCGATTCAACGAAAGTCGTTTTAAAAGAAATATCAATATTAATTAATAATGGATAAAATTTACTATAGCCCACGAGGATATTGGAAAGGTGTAGGAGCAATAAAAAAATTAGCCACCGCGGCTAAGGTATCTAAAGATGTGGCCAAGGATTGGTTAAAAAAACAAGCAATGTGGCAGATATATTTACCGGCACCGCGTTATATACCGAGGAAGAAGTTTGATATTTTTACAACGAATGAAGTTCATCAGGCTGACCTCTTGTTTCTTCCCCACGATAAGGTAAAACGCAAAACGTATAAATACGCTTTAACGGTAGTGGATGTTGCTAGTCGATACAAAGAGGCTGAGCCATTAACATCGAAAGAATCAACAGAGGTAGCTAATGCACTGAGTCGCATATATAAACGCGGACCGCTAAAATGGCCTAAGCTATTTCAAGTAGATCCCGGTCGCGAGTTTATGGGATCGGTAACTAAACTGTTAACAAAGCATGATGTCGAAATAGTCCGTGGTGAAAGAGAGGCCCACCGCAGTCAAGCTATCGTCGAAAGATTTAACAGGACATTAGCGGAAGTTTGGTTGGCTATCAGTATGGGATCGAAATGAAATCCAAGCGATTGAGATCAACCGAATGGGTGACACGATTATCAGCCGTTGTATCAGCGCTGAATAATGAAGTAACGAGATTAATAGGGAAGAAACCATCCCATGCTATTAAAATGAAATCAGTGACTTCCGAATCTTCAGCACCGAGGAGAGGCAAAGAACGAAAACTTCCGGATAGAGTAAGCGTAAGATATTTATACCAGGCCGGTGAACTCGAAGGAGGCCTACGTCGCGCAACCGATCCCATATGGTCCCTTAAGACGTATAACATTAGTCGATTGGTTACGAAAGAAGGAGAGCCTATTCTTTATTATCTTCAAGATGGACCGGGTAGGGCATTTGTACGAGAAGAGTTGTTCATAGTTCCCGACGGTACAGTATTACCACCATAACCATAAGCATAGGTATTTACACCATCATTATCAATCCATCTCTTTGTATCTAAGGGGGATAATGATGTCTTGTTCATTCTTAATCCATATATCCTATGATTGTAACTTCTTAAAGAGTTCATCTCGTGTTTGAACGTTCTACCGTTGAATAATGATTCTTTATACTGTTCGTGTTTGATATGCTTTTTTACAACATACTTCTTAACGCCCTTAGCTTTTCTTATCTCCCCATTATCGGACTTCTTTATAGAATACATCTTAGGTCTTAATCCTACATACTCCGCTATAGGGGTCCCAGCACATTCATCCTTCATCTTACCTAATACCTTTTTATTTACTACGCTGTGCAGTGGATTATCTTTAGGATAATCGCTCGTGTCGTACATATCTATTTTTTCTGCCATATCTTTATACACATCCTCGGTTTGTATTTCCATCAACAAAGAATCTGTGTCGGTATATAACACCTCACATCTATCGCCGTATTGCTTCTTAAGTTCGTTGTAATAAAAGTCATACATTAAATGTTTTGACAAGTCGAGAATACTCATACCGACGTACACCGGTCTGTTGAATTTTATATTACTCTTCTGCATATGCAACGCGGCTAAGTCGTTATCGAATATCTTGCTTCTGTTAAAAGCCGGACTGGCTATAAGTTTCCTGAGTCTTTCTTCCTCATTAGATCTGACTAATTTAACATCAACACGCTTCCTTAGATTCTCCATAGTTTTACCAAATACCAAGTTATTCATGAGCTTATATAGATTCTTTTCGAAATCGCTGGTAGCTATCTTTCTTAAATCTGTGTTCAACCTTATATAGGGCTCCATCCAAGGGCTTTGATCAAACTTTAGAACTCTGTGTATTTTCTTAAGTTTCATACCTAACGATAGATACAACTGGAGATTTCTGTAGTGAACTATATATTTTGTCTTAACCATCAAATTTGGTACGAGTTTTTCTACGTTAGCTAACCTACTATTACCCATCAAGGAGCGTTGATATTCCGACATCCAATCTTTATTAACCATTAATCTTTCGGGAGCTAGCGGATAACTGTTATGATCTTTATGTAACGAACTTGGATATTCCAAGTCAACTTCTAGTATGTACCCTTTATTCACTTCGATATCATTATTATAGATATTAATATCATTCACTTCGATATCATCGACCCATTCAAAACCACCCGTGGGTAAAGGTTGACTCATAGCCCATCCGTACAAATTGTTAGCGTCGAGATATAATATATGCGTGTCGGGTTTACTGGGATCGTATCCTTCCACTAATTTATTATTAGCCTTAGAATACCTTTTAGCTGCCATCGATATACCACCTCTTAATCCTTTCTCAATAAACAAGTGCATATCGTAATCTGTGAGTAGTTTTAGTTCTACGCCGGTCTTCTTCAACAATGCATCCCACGATAGTCCGGGACTGGAATAGTACCATGCCGGGTCCAAGCCATATTGTTTGAAACATGTCTTTCTAAATATCTCGAATATATCGGCGAGTAACAGTACATCGGTTTTTAAGTACAGATCGTGTTAATCGCCTAAATTCTTACAACCTAATTTATACCAGACCGTCAGAGCGTGTTCATAATCGGCACCTGTTATTCTAGATTCTGTTAAGTTACTATAGAATGATTCGAGGGGTGGTAATTCAGTTTCTTCGAATCTAGACCAATCATCCATATATTCGTAAGGATATACACCTTTTCTCAGCAACAAATGACGAGTTATCTTATCGGTATATTGATTTGTTATCGCGAAGTCATCGGGATTGTTCGCATTAGCTAAATTGTCCAGGGAAGATAACAGAAACTGTACGGAGTCTATGAATCTAAGCCCATTACTTTGCTTTGTTCTAGATTTCCCATCCTTGTCCCTATAATGTATAGGTTTAGTCAACAAGAACGATATGTATTTTTCCATATTATAAGGAATGCACGTTAAACCGCCGTCGGTCTTCGAGATAGCTTGCATAATGAGATATGAATCGTATCCCCTAAGGTTATGAAACACAACGGGGATGGGTATTGTTTGAGAGTTCATTTTTAGTTTCAAGTTACACTCGTTATGAGCGGCTCCCCGATAATTACCCGTGACGTGACAATGATCCCTTACGGAATCCCCATCCAGGGGTTTATTACAAACGTGACAACTCGTTGACTTCTTATGAGCCCTCCAATCATCCCTCGTCATACGCATGGGTTTCTTACACGATAATTTTTCCCTGATTATTCTCTCTTCATTTTGTAGATATTCTAGGAACTTTCCCGCTGCATCGGGTCCTCTGTAAATCACGGGCGGGTTTGTTTTCCCATCATACCTTACAACTATATATCCAAACCCACAAGGAATATGTTCTTGAGTTTTGTACGTAAAACTACTATGGTTGGTATTTTCTATGGGTTTGATAAGCGCTTCGAAGTCGGCGTAAATTACGTACGGTACTGGCATTTGATTACAATAATGTTCAAATTTTAATATATTTTTTCCCTCTTTAGGCATATCGATCCTGATAGCATTCTGTCCAACACCTCTACAGTCTTCTTTATGCGCTTCCAATAGATCTTGTTTGCTGTACCCATGCAGGCATCTTTCGCAGAAATATTTCTTTTCTTTATGTTTTGTTTGATCGTATAGTAGCCTGTTTAAACTCTTTATCCACGTATAATGATATTTACCATCTTTTTCGATCAGAAATGAATTGATTCTGGGGATATTTTCCGGAGCGGAGCTTATCCTGTGTACAACAATTCCTTTAGAATGTCCGAAAACATTTATAGCTAAATTATTTTGCTTTTCCACCTTATCAATTTGCGATATTGGTGTAGGTTCGTCTATACCATTGAAGTTGAGTCCATCGTTTTGGGGATAGCTAGAAGGTCTATCCGGATGCTTGTCTACGGGGAACAATGCAGATCTTATCATCATTCTTAAACAGTCATCGGATTTATTTTTTACGTTAATTATGGCTTTTTTCTTCTTATAATACGGGGGTAAATCTATATAAGATCCACCTTTGAAAGGCATATAATTCGCTATATCTAAATATAAACTATCGATTTTATCCACACCCCAACCAGAACCTCTATTAGTCCAGCATTCTAAAGTTTCCTGTATCCTCTGAATTGATGTATCTAATGATGAGTTTATAGTATCGGATTCGGTTATAACTTCTTGATTGCTACGGAAATATGGTTCAGTATATTCGGTGCTATCGTCTGTGTTACTTTTACTCAATGTCATTTTAATCGTCAGCTGGTATTTTATGCTATGTAAATCATCTAATTCCTCGTTAATTTTACTCCATATGATGGGCTTAATATCGTTAACATCCATGTTGGAATTAATATCCATCTTCCAACCTCTTAGATATTTACCAACGCCGGCGGATGTGGGTACAAATATTAATTCTTGTTGTTGATTATCATTATCATTATTATGTTGATTATCAACATTATTAGGTTGAATATCATTATCAATAGGTTGATTATTATCTAGTAAAGCGATCAATTCAGCTCTTCTCATTCGAGAATAACCTCTCAGCCCACTGTTTCTCGCTCGAGCTTTGAGTTCTCTAACAGTCTGGGGTCTGTTGTATTCCAAA